AGTTCTTTTTCTGGAGTTTTCTCCTGTTCTTTTATTTGGGATGTATTTCTTTGTTTCCTCATTTTGACGGCCTCTCCGTTTGTTTCTATGTATTAGGTAGATCTGTTACATTTCCCCAGTTTTGGTCAGGTGGCCTTATGTCATAGGTACCCTTTGGGGCCCAGTGGCTCAGTCTCCCTGATCACCTGAGCCAGGTGCTACAGGAGTATCCCTTGTGTGGATTGTGTGTGTCCTGCTGTTACAGTTGATCCTTCGTTGCTATTGGCACATCAGTGGGTGAGATTGACTCTCAGGCTGATTGGCTTTGGGGTTTGGCCACATGACTTTGGGGTTTGGCCACATCCACAGCTTACAGCCTGCTGTGCGGGGGGTTACTCCACTCAGTGGGATTTGCCCCAGCAGGCTTTTGTGCCTATTGAGACCACCCTTCATGAATGTCGCTTGTGGGGCTAATTGGGCGGTGTTCTGCTGGGGTCTGAAGCCAACCTCCAAGTGTATCAGTTCTGGGTCCTCTTGGGAGGGGCTCTGGTGCAGGTCTAGATCACCCACTGCCTGTGACTGGCTGGGGACTACCTGGTAGGAGCTACAAAGTGATCTGTGGGAAGAGTTGTGGTCACCAGGTTAATGTAGATTCTTATTTGGTGCTACCACTGAGCCTGAAGCTACTCAGCAAAAGCCTCAGAGCACACCGAGGCCAGTCAATGCCGGCCTGGGGTCTGTTGTACTCTTGAGAGTTTTCTAAGAAAGACTGTATTGTGGGTGGGGCTGGTTGCTTTTAGAGAAAGTGCCTCGGGTGTTGGGTGGAGTAGGATTCCTCAGTGAGTCAGCAGTGGAGCTCACGAGACCAATCACATTCAGATTTGGCTGTAAGCATAGGGGGAGGGCTTAATGCAGGAAAGATGGCACCTGCTTGCCAACTATATGGCAGTAGAACCCGTCACAGGGAAAATGCTGACTGTCCTCCAGCCCTCATGCGGAAGGAATACAACTTGGAATGCCCCCCCCCCCCGATCCCATATATATTTGATAACCCCTGAGTTACTGTTCCTCTGCTGGAGCCCAAGGTGAGTGCCTGGGAGTGAGAGAGTTTGTGCGCAGGCCCTTTAAGAGAAAGCCTGGGTTTCCTGCTGCCTTCCATCCCACCCAAATAGTCAGAATTCTCACTGTTTTTCTCAGCCAGATGTTATGTGGGCTTCTCTTCCCAGCACCAGTACTCTGGACTGGGGAGGCCAGTGTGGAGCTGGGACCCCTCACTCTTCTGAGAGGGAACCTCCATGGCTGAGATATCCCTCCCAGTTTTCAACTACCACATGGAGGTTTGGGACCAGCCCATTTCGCGTCTCTGCCCCATCTACCAGCCTCAATGTGGCTGCTTCTTTATAAAACTTCTGTTTGGCCATTCTACAGATGGTTCTCCAGGTTGATTTTTCTATAATTTAGTTGTAATTTTAATTTGGTCATGGAAGGAAACAGGCACAGTGTTTATCTACTCCACCATCTTGGACTTCCAACTCATAATTATTTATGTCTGGGTTTATGAATTCCTTGAGGACAGGGGGCATTGTTGGAGGCCTCATCTTTGTTTAAAACTACCCATAGCCTAGGAGCTGCCCTTTGAAGATAAGAGCTCTTCACCTGGCCAGCTTTTCCCCAGCTCAGGATAGGAAGGAAGGAGACAAATAAATACAGTGTAAATGAAAGAGGCATCTGAGCATGGGTGTTAAGTGATGACAACTGCTATCCCCTGGCCATCCACACATGTTAATTACTCCTGTATCTTAAACAGTTGTATTGTATAACCAGGGCAAAGTATTCCACTCCGTGAAGCCTATGGGGGTATGAAGTGACGGCAAAGGTAGAGGAAACAGAACATGGGAGTCGGTGGATAGGGACAGAAAGATAGAAATGGGTATAACATAGGGCAGTAGTTGACAAACCTACACAATCAAAACTAGAACATGGGGACAAATCTGGGTATTGTCTTTATATAATAATAATAATGCATTTTATACAAAGCAGTTTGTCAATATTTTTTTGTTTTAAGTATCTTTATTGTATCCTGTTTTTGATGATTAAGAATGTTTACTGGAAATTGCTTCTTCATTGGAAAATTGCTAGCATCACCTTAGCCCCAGTTGTAAAACCCTGCAATCTATCCTCCTTCTAAGATCAGGACAGACAAGGATCATCTCTCTTGTTTTAGAGGCAAAAGTGGAAGTGGAATGGGCAGAGGAAGAGTGAAGGGTGGTATTGATACCAATCAGCCAAATTAGATGGAGAAAGGGGAGTTATTACTGCACTTGCAAAGAACTGGTTCATTCTTTCTTTAAACATTACACAATCAATTTTTAAAACTTCAGTGTGCTCATGAATCACCTTAGGTTGGTGTTGAAATATAGGCCTCCAGAGAACTGGATTCAACAGGTCATGTTAGAGCCATGAAATCTTATTTAACCACCCACCACAAGTCACTTATGATGCAAGTGACACTGAGAAACACTCAGAAACATCACCATCAGCAGTAATGAGTTTATACCCCTAACAATGAACAAAATAAGAGGGGCATAAATGGGAAATAGCGATACTAGAAATGATCAGCATGTCTAGTTCTTTAGCTCTGGCTTCCAACTGCTCTTCTCCTATCTCAGCACTTTTCCACCCACTTTGCCCAAATCACAAAACCCACACAAGGTTTCAGGACTAATGCCCCTCCTCCCCCCGGCAATTTTGATTTCCATATATTTTTTAAGGGATAAAAATCTCTTTTTCTGAACACATCCAGTTTTTCTATTTCTAGAGTATATCAAAAACTTCATTAAGAAGCTTGATAAACTGTATAGGAAAATGAATGGCTGAAGGGTGGAAACATGTGGGTGAGATGAACAAGATCAGAAATCCTCAGATTACTAATATGTAAATCACTGAGCCCCCAAAATCTTCCATTCCCATCAACAACTTTAGAGAAAGGCAAATTCCATTTGCCTCCTGCATTTCCTATTAATCATTGTGTAGAACCGAACATTGCATTGATAAAACAAACAAAACGAAATATCCCCCCAGTTTAAAAAAAAACATAGAGACCATCTAAGAGGATATTACTTAGTCTTGACTATTTAGTAAATTATTTGCTGAGGATTACTTAGCTAATTAATGATAGGTAGCTCTAGAGTCAGTTTTTCCTGACTTGATAGTCATGACCACACTAGCAGGTCATGACCATCATTTTTGGAAAAATGAAATAGATTAAATAGAAAGTATCAGAGGAATTAAATTTGGGGAAACACTGCTCTATTCCATTATGTGGCATCAAAAAAGAGATTTGCAATAAGGGGTAAAAGAGCTGAATCTCCAACTCTATTACAATTTTACTGAGGCCAAAGAGAATTTCATGTTCCCACCAGATTTTTAAGGCATTATCATCCTCAGTAATTTTTCAAGTTTAAAAAATAAAAATATGTGCTATCCTTGAAACTGGACACCGAATGAGTCCGGGGTTCATGCGGCCTGCGCCGCTCAGCCAATAGACCGACACAGGAGTTGGGTCATGGAATAAGCATTTATTATCAGAGCACCAGTGGTCTGAGAAGGCAGCGGGTTAACACCTCCAAAAACTGCCATAACATTCTCAGACCAGCCTGGGATATTTAAGGGAAAATCTGAACATTCTTCCAGAGGCCACGTGATGGTTCCGGGGGTCTGCATAGAGCCTTCCCTCAGGCAATGTGGCTCTCTACCTTGGTCATCAACCCAGGAGCAGTGATGACAGCAACCTGAAAACAATGCTAGGCCATAGAGATTGTAATGAGTAAGCATGGGGTAGTGTGATCAGTAACATGGGGTATTGTGATCAGTAAGCAAGCATAAGTTTCAGGGTAATTATCTAAAGCAAGGAACTGGACAGGGAATATTCCAAACTCAGGAACTGGGAGAGAGGACATTCCAAGCTCAAACTGCAGGGGAGGGCATTGATCAATTGTTAAGCTCTAGGGCAGGAAGAGGGGAAGCCAAGGAAATTGCAAGTCCTCTTTTGTGGGGGATCCCAATCAGGCCCTATTTCATTCAGAGAATGTGAAAATTCTTACTTGGGAAGCAAATGCCACAATCAAGCTAATGGGCATCTCCATATTCATTCATTATGCATTATTTTACCCTGCTTTTGAAATGAATAAGCAGGAAAGGCAAATAAGGAACAGTTCAACATGTCAATTTAAAATTACAGGAAAGAAGGAAGAAGGAAGGAGGGGAAGGGAGAAAAAGGCAAGCACCTAGAAGCCAATAGTAGGAAATGCTTAAGTAAATTATCCCACCACCCTCTGTGTAAGTCACATAGTTTCAGTTTGAGCCCATCCATTGGTAAGTGTTATCTCAACCTTCATAATGTAATGTGCTACTTACTCCAACTGGATCCAAGATAAGCCGGCATTCCTAAGTGTAACTCATGATGAGAAGTTCTTTTAATGACGAAGCAATTTAAGTTTCTTTATGTCGAGGAACTCTGAGGAAGTCTCCAATAGACCATTTAAAAATGTATTTCCTATTATAGACACATCTTCTTTCTAGAATAAAAACCAAAGCCGTATTACCCTGTACTTTTACTTTCTAATTTATGTTGCAGAATTATATCAAGTTATGTCAAGATGTTCTATATTCTTGTAAAAGCTTTTATCGAAAAGGGAGGAAACCTGATGGCAGAATTTAAGGTGTCTGGATTCAGAAGGTAGTACCAACATCTGAAATCTTTCTGATGACTTCAGACGTTACTTTGTTTTAAACCTGTGTTTAAAACACATGAGACATTGATTTAATGATTGAAGCTTTTCTTTTATAGGGCTCATTTACGGGAAACCGCAGGGGTTAAGTTTCACTTTTGGTTTTATCTGATTTTTTTAATTCCAAGGACCTAAATCCACTATTTCCCAAAACAGAAGCTTAGAGGCACAAAGAGGAAGCTTATCAGCCAACTAATCAGGGACCGGACTCTCCGGGCGTGGGCGGGACCTCACTTCAGCGAGGCGAGTTCATAATTTGAGCACGCGCCGCGCGTCCTCATCTCAGTCCCGGACGCAGCTTCGCCAGCCTCCGCGAGTCTCCCCATCCGCAGGTAGGGAGCGTTCTTTACCCTAGGATTCACCCTCTGGTCGGAATCTCTGGCCATCTCCCTCGGCACTTTAAAAATGTACAGTCTGTAGTCCCTTTCTTTGAGATGGAGAGAAGAGCAGGGAAGCTCGATGGTGAATAGATAACACGTTTGGCTTTTCTCTAGGCGGGATTCAGTTTTGTGTAATGTTAATCTTGTAAGTATATGTTTGTGAGCGTTCATAAATATGATCCTGAGGCTGGTAGTGGGTCTATGGGTAGATTTCTAGGCAGGAATTCTGGACATCTGGATCCACATCCATCCTCGCTGGCTGTGTGCTCTGCGTAAATCAGCACACCTGCTGCATCTCCTAAGGTCCTTTCCTGCTGTAAGATCCAGGACACTGGAACCTGAGTTCCTTGCTCTATCTGCCCTGGGGACCTAAAGGAGTCCTGAAGGAGGAAGAGAAGAACATAAAAAAATAAAAAAATAATTAAAAAAGTTAAGACATTTCTTAAACACATTGACCTTGGCTTATGTCAAAGTACTATTTGGGGTTGTTTTATATCATAGGGAGTACTTAAAGAATTATTGTTCCACCTTGTTTTTTTGCACCTAAAATAGTATTCCATGGTGTTGGATAGCCAAATAAAATTAATCCCCCATGCTGGGCATAAAGGTTATTTATAGTGGTTCACCATCTTAGCCATTCACTGAACATTATTACATATAATTCTCTGGGACATTGCTGATTATTTCCTTCAGGTAAACTCTTAGAAACATAACTACTTAGTCAAAGAGTCTTAATATTTTAAAGGCCTTTTGATACAAATTGAAAATTGCCTTCCAGAAAGATTGTGCCAGTTCACATTGGCAGTTTTTAAGAACCATGATACTTTGAAGAAAAAAAATTTGCCTTTTTCAGTGGAAGAGGATAGGCAGAGGTGACAGGACAGCAATTAGAGTGCAATCTGAGAGGAAGCCCCAGAGATACCATGGGGAATTGAGGCCCCCACCTGGGCAATTACCAGTGTGTCTCAGGGTTGCTGAGGGAAAGGAGTTTGGGCACAGGGTTTAGTCCAGCTTGATAGTTTAGTAGAGATTTAATAGATCAACCCTCTTGATCTATTAATGGGGCCAGTTTTCAATTCACTTGCAGATACTTTATCAAACCCTAAGAATATTTTTTTGAAATCAAATCATAGTTCATATACATTGAGTAAAAATGAGAGGAAACCCTAAGCCAGAAGATATCAAGACACGCCTTGCTCCTACTTTTGAGAAACAAAACTTGAATTCTTTCCCTGTCTCTTCCTCTTATCCTTTCTACCCTTGGGAGATAGAATAGTATGAGCTCCATAGTATTACACTGGGTTCCCCCAGGGACAAACCAGCTTCACCATCCTGAATGACCCATCACTTCTTCCCTAGTTCATATTTCCTTGCTCTTTGAATGTCTCAGTTCTTGTCTGGAAATTCAGATACACATTGGCAAAATTACTTGTGATCCATGAGTGGATTTAATGCCCCTCTGATTTATTTAGCAGTTCTTTGCTTGGAGTTAGGGGTTTCTTAAATATTGAGGACAGGGCATTTAAATTGTTTAAATGCATGTTCCTGGGGTTTAAACCATTTAAATCAACTTTTATACTGTGTTTCTTTAAAAATTTATAACAAATTTGCTAACTATTTTTGTGAACTGAAATTTTCAGGAAATACTCACCAAAGACCCTAGTAGTGCGTAGTACTTGAGAGTGTGATACCTCTGGAAACATTCCCCCTTAATGTATACACGCAAATCTGCATCACCGGTCCTCAATGTGTTAAGTTGTCGTCTGCCCAATAATTGTATTTGTGTTTATAATATCACATTCGTATTTTATAATTGTGCAATGTCAATTCTAGCCCAAAGAAAGGACAGCCAGAGGGAGCTGCTGCAGCAGCCCCATTTCAACAACCTTTGTGTTCTCACAGGCCTGAAGGCCAACCTTCTCCCCATCTATGGCGCAGACAATAAGGAAAAATAAATATTATGCACCTTACACTAGCAAGAGGATAATGACTCATTTTATTTAACCCTTTTTGTATATGTATACGGACATGGACATGAAGGATTCATTCATACAGGTTGGTAAGAAACCAGTAAATAGGCCAAAAAATGATCAGATAATTCACAAAAAACTAAAACAATCAATATACATGAAAAATTCAAGTTTTAACTGTAAAAAAAATTTTTTAAGATTTTAATTAAAATATAGCTAACATACAATACTATATTAATTTCAGGTGTATACCATAGTTATTCAACATTTATATACCTAAAGAAGTGATCACCATGGTAAGTCCAGCAATCATCTAACACTGTACCATGCTATCACAATATTATTGACTATATTCCCTATGCTGTACATTACATCCCCATGACTTATTTGTTTTATGCCTGGAGATTTGAACCTCTTATTCCCTGTGACTTTCTCCCCTTTTTTTAATTTTTCAATTACAGCTGACATTCATTATTATTTTATATTCATTTCAGGTGTACAGCATAGTGGTTAGACATTTCTATAATTTAAGAAGTGATCCCTCTGACTAGTCTAGTACCCACCTGGCACTATACATAGTTAATACCATATTATTAATTATATTCCCTACGTTACATCCCCATGATTAATTTGTATTTCTTAATCCCATTGATTACTTCTTGTGCTAATAATAGGCTACTATTTTTTTTCAAGTTGTACTTTTTAAATAATCAAATTAGAAAAAAATGTTTTCAAAACAATACCTAGTGCTGGATAAAGATCCAGTGTAACTGGTACCAATTACCCACATGAATCAAGAACCAGGAAAATGTTCTTTCTCCTTGATCAATAATTCCACTTAGGGAAATCTATCCTGAGGGCCTAGTCTGGGGCCTGGCACAGACTATATTTGTTAATATATTAACAAATATTTGCTGAATACACAAAACACTTGACATTTTAAAAACTGGAAACAATTTTATACCTCACAGTAGAGGTGCTAAACATTATGGGACTACTAAATACGTTAGTTACAAATATCATGCAGTAAAATGGAAAATATTTGTCATAATAGTAAATGAAAAAAATGAGTGTTAAATGTATAACAAGGTTATAATTACTTTTTAAAAGATTCATAGGAGGGAAAGACTGGAAGAAAACTATATTCTAAAATGCTCACAGTGGTTGCAAGGTTTCTCAGCATTAGCAGTATTGACATTTTGGGCCAGAATATGTCTGCTGTGGGGCTTTCTCTGCATTGTAGGATGTTTAGCAGCATCCCTGGCCTCTACCCACAAGATAGTAGCAACCTGCCCCTTAACCCCATTTTGACAAAAACTGTTTCCAAGAATTACCTGGGTTTAAGTAATAGAATAGTGGGTGGTTTTTCCCTTCTTTTCTCATTTTCTGTAATATGTTTACTGCTTTAATAATGAAGAAAAACATAAAAATAAACAAATATTATTCTACCTCAGTTCAGATGTTTGGGATTCTGGTGTTCTTTCCACTATACTATTGTGTCTACCAAATACTCTGCAACTTGGCAAGTTGGTTCATTAAATTTTGCTTTTATGATAATAAAAGTAAAACATCCATTTGTTTGAAAATTTAGGACACAGAAAAACTCTAAAGAAATCACTTAACAATCTCTCCTTTTTTTCTTTTCTCTTGTTGTTTCTTCCTTTTAAAACACTATAGAGGGGTGAAAACCTACCTAGCCTCCCTCTAATTTCACTCCTACAGATAATTACTATCAGCATCTTGATATGGATTTTTCTGGACATGCATGTTTAAACACACACAAATATTTTTGACAAAAGTGGATTTCTGCTACATATACTGTTCTGCAACTTACTTTTTACACCTCTGCAAAATCAATACATATATATGTACTTAATTCTGTCCCTAATGGTATTACATTGTATGAATATACTAAAATTTATTAACCACTTAGGTTATCTAGGGTATTCTTAGTTTGGGACTAATATTAGCAATGCTATCCCTGTATATATATTGTTATATGTATGTGTTTTTGTTTTTGTAGGACATATTTCTAGAAGAGGAAGTGAAAGCTGATATGACATATACTTGTACATTTAAATTTTTAATAGAAATTACCAAGTTGCCCTCCAAAAAAGGTTATACAGCTTCATATTCCTACCACAGTGGATGAGAAAATCCATTTATTCATATCCTCAAAAATCCTAAATATTAGAACTCTATAATTTTGGCCAATAAGTGAAAAATGGAATTTCATGCCTTAAATTCATACCTTATAACCAATACCTTGGTTAGATTGAGCATTCTTTCCTGTGTTTAGATGTCAGTTGTAGTTCTTATTCGCTGAACTGTGTGTTAGAACCTTTTGCTTATTTTCCTGTTGGGTTGTGTGTGGTTTTCGTATTGATTTTTAGGAGCTATGTATTAGGAGCATTAATCTTTTGCCTTCTATAGGTGTACCATTGATTAGCTGATCCTTTGTGAGTTTTTAAATGTATACAGAGGTCAAACAGACGCAAAGAGGGAAAACTAACTTCTCAAAGTGTATAAATGTATGTATAACACAAGAGAGGAAATGTTTTATTAAATAAACAGATTGGCTGAAATCAACACAAGTCTTCTTTATTTATTCCCTAATTGAATACAAGCGCCAAGAGAAGAGGGAGTTTTCTTTCCTGTTTACTGGCACAGAGGATGTGCTCAATCAGTGTTTGTGGAGAAAGAATTGGGAGAATTCCAAGCAGGATGACAAAATGAAGACTAGAATCTAGGCAGATACCCCTGAAAGAATGGCTATGAGTCACTCACGTATTATTATGAATTAGTCAAATCCAACTGGTTCTCCTTCTCACTCCCCCTACTACTAATGGAATCAGCTTATTATGGGAATAGGATTATTATCTGGAATAAGTGAAGGATAAAAGAGGAGATTTTTGAAGGACGGTATCTGGGGAAGAGCTGACATGGTTAGAATAGTGTTGTGGAAGGCTTGAATAGTTAAACGGTATGATGAAAATAGTCAGCTGCTGGAGGGTGGAGGGAGCATTGAAAGATGAGAGATGTGAAAGTCAGATTCTCCTTGCTTTAAAGTTTCACATAAGGCAGGCGTGAATTTCTAGATGTTATACTGAAGAAAAAAAACATGAAATAGTTGAGAGGATTTTGGTGCAATTTTATTTTTCTTGACTTCTTTTGAGTGGACATTACAAGTTTTTCTTCAGGGCTTGTAATTAAATTTTTAAATTCTCATCATAGTAACTTTTTAAAATTTGGCTTTATATAGCTCTGGGATGTTAAGTGACAGTGCTGAACTTCTAAATCTCCTGCTGCATTTCCATACTTACAAGTCATTCACTGTCTGGTTATCAGAAGACTATTTCAGTTAGAACTGCCAAGTCCCATAATGTCTGGGTATTCAATTATTGAGTAAAGCAGTTTTCTTTTTGTGTTTTCTATAATTAGGTCATTTAAGAAAAATGAAGATATTATTCAGTGGTTTTGCATTGATAGCCTACTGTCATTTGCTGAAAGGTAAGACACCAATCCTTGTTAGGTTCTATATTTTAAATATTTCAACCACAAGTTAAAAACTAAAATAATTTAAAATGGATGTGTTTTTTAATAAATAAGACATTGTATTTTTTCCTTCTTTATTCCATAAACATATTTCATAAACTCCTATCATTGGACAAAGATATAGGCAATATGGACAAACTGAAAGAAACAAAATTAATCCATTATCCATATCCATTTCCGGTATAAATACTGAAAATACCTTGGGAAATGACCTATGTATATACTTTTATTAGTTTGTTTTAAACAAGGACAGGATCATTCTATCCACTGTGCTCTGTGACTTGCTTTTCCCTGAAAAGTGTATTCGAAGGAAGAATTATAGTGTACATGGAAAGTGTCAGGGTAACACAGCACTGGCATCCTCCTGAGACCCTCCCTAAATCTCTATACCCACGTACCTCTGGCCAGATAACTGGTCAATAGTTTAGGGCAGCAAGAAGATAGGACTACAGCCATGCACTGAATAAAGATGTTTCAGCCAACGATAGACTGCATATACCATGGTGCTCCCATAAGATTATAATGGAACTGAAAATTTTCTATCACCTAGTGATGTCATAGCCATTGTAAAGTCAGCGTGCAACACATTACTCATGTGTTTGTGGAGATGCTGGTGTAACTAAACCTGTGCTGCCAGTCGTATATAAATGTATAGCACATATAATTATGTACAGTACATAATGCTTGATACTAATAATAAATTACTGTATTACTGGTTTATGTATTTACTATACTTTTTATCATTATTTTAGAATGTACTCTTTATACGTATTTAAAAAGCTTGCTTTTAAACATTATGCCATGTTACGTCTGCAGAAGTCTCATACATCTCGTGCTTAGCATGCCTCTTGACCGCATCTTTTTCTCATGTGTTTGATTTACTCTTGTGTTGTTTTGTACAGTAACATGCTGTACAGGCTTGTGGCCTAGGAGCAATAGGCTCTACCATGTAGCCTAGGTGTGTAGTAGGCTATACCATCTAGGTTTGTATAAATACACCTGATGTTTGCACAACAACAAAATCACCTAGCGATGCGTTTCTCAGAACATATCTCCATTGTTAAGCAGCACATGACTGTATTGGAGTCTGTCATTCAGACTATCGTGAAGAAAGCAAATAGTTGTCCAGTCAAAGGACGTTCTGGGGGTGTCCACATAAAACAAAGTCTTCTGGTTACCAAAGTACACTATCACCGTATAATATTTCTACAGCAATGTATGTTAATGAATTTGGGGACAACAAGTTGTTTAGCTAATTTTATTGTTCTAACTCAGGGATGAGATGCATTAATAGCACCCCAATACATGTTTCAATCTGACTGGATAAAATATGTATTTTAGGAAAGTAAGCCCTTAAACAATTTTCACATAAGGGACCTGATAAAATGTTTTTAAACTGTGTACTCATTCTGTAAATTTTTTGAGGTATTTTCCACCTTCTGAAGATTGGTCATCTTTCTTTTCAGCATTTACTGTCACAGTTATCAAGGACCTGTATGTGGTAGAGTATGGCAGCAATGTGACAATGGAATGCAGATTCCCCGTAGAAAACCAATTCAACCTGTCTGCATTAATTGTCTACTGGGAAATGGGGGATAAAAAAATTATTCAGTTTGTAAATGGGAAGGAAGACCTGACGGTTCAGCACAGAAGCTACAGACAGAGGGCCCAGCTGTTGAAAGACCAGCTCTTCTTGGGAAAGGCTGCACTTCAGATTAGAGATGTGAAATTGCAGGATGCAGGGGTTTACTGCTGCTTGATCGGCTATGGCGGTGCTGACTACAGGCGGATTACTTTGAAAGTCAATGGTAAGAATTATTATAGATAAAGAGACCCAATATTTATTAAAATCATATCCCAGTGTTGAGAACGTTGCATCTTGAAAGCCCAGCCTTACTCTCCAAAGCAGCATTCTGTTCGTTCATTCATTCACACACTCATCCAATGAACATTTCTTGAGCACCTCCTATTTGACGGTCTGTAGAGACCCAGAGCCAAACATGACAGAGCCATGTTTTATATAGTATGTTCAGTTTTCCTAAAAATAAATTCCTCGTCATTACATTTTTTATTATTATAAAAGTAATACATGTGCTTGCATATAATTCAGATGCTATGGAAGGGAATAAAATGAATTACAAAAGTGTGCCTCCTCCCTTCACCACCATCTTCCATGGCACACAGACAGAACCAGGTAACCACTATTTGTGTTCCCTTCAGGAACTTTTTTTTAATTCAACTGTTATTTTTTTTATTTTATTTGGTCTGTCATCATTTTCCTTCCTTTGAATCTCTCTATATCAAACCCAAATAAATATATTAAAAATAAACCCCACTGTAAGGTTCACATTCAAAAAGACTTGAAGTCAATCTCTGAAGGCAAAAAAGATTCTATCAAGTAGAGAGAAAACTATTCTTCTTTAGAGATGGTATAAACTATGCTCGCTGGGCATACATTCATCTTGAAAATCTATACCAATGTTATCTTGGGAGTGTTAAGAGGAACTGTGAGTGTAAAATTCCTGGGTACTGACCTACAACTATGTATGTCATCAGGTCACCTGGGTTCAAAGTTTTGGGTGGCAACTAGCTGAGTAAAGGAAAACACCTTAGCGGACCACCTCTGCTTTCACTCTTAAGATTCCTAGAATTGAAAGCTGAAGGGAACCCAGGCAAGAGCTGCTAAGCCAAATTCCCAAAGAACAGAAATCCCCCAAAGGGTGTACTGCCCACATACTTCTGACAATGTCACTCCTGTCATTTGGATCTCCCTTCCATAGCCTATTGAAATTACTTCCTGATATTGAGCTGAGATCTGCCCTCTCTTAGCATTTTGAAATTATCTGCCTGCTTCTTTTCTTCACATGATGATCTTTTAATATGTGACTAGAATTAAATCGTCACTCCTGGCCTTTCTGTTCCTGAACTAATGACCATCAATCTGAAGATGAGTAATACAAGCATAAAAAGTTTACATTTATCACAAAGGGATAATTGATCATTATACACTCAAAATCAAAATTATAGGAATTAGGAGAAATGCATTTATTTTATGGTATATTACTGGGTCTCTGAAACTGACTCATTAATGCTACTATTGTCAAGAAAATGTCACTTGTGTTGTGAAGTAGATTTAATTTAAATTATGTTTTACCATATGCTTTTCCAGAACGGTGATATTCATGAAAGCAAGATAGTAGGATTCCAAGTTGGAATTTTCAACTTTTCTTCAGTCCATCTGCAAATATCAGGCACCTACTGTATTTCCAGGCATAAGAAGATTTACCCTTATAAACAGCCAGCATTGCTGGATCTTGGGTGGCAAGGAAGGTAGAAGGAAGTGTAGGGTGTAAGTTTCTGCTTCCAGAAAAGGTCTCTCATTAACCTGTTGGGAGTATGCAGGGAGTGTGACAGCTATCCCTGTAGAGAGGAAGGGTGTTCTTCCAGGTCACCTGGGTTTTAGAATGTTCCTTGCAGAATTGTAATTCTCTTTCCTATGGAGTGGCACATTAGGAAGTCTGTGGCTCTGATGCTTATTCCAAGGAGGGGTTCCTGATGGAGCAAAGCAGATAACCAACATCTGATTTGTTTGAGTATTCCATTTTGTATTATAAGTTGCTAAATTAGCATGCTAATACCAATCCACCTTGTTGTCATTTGCAAACAGTGGTTATGGGTGTTGAATTGAGCTGCACTGAGAGCGAGCCAATCACCAATTTTCAATTGCATAGAGGCAGTGTCACCAGTGAGCTGTTAGTCCCAAGGAAGTAGAATTTTTGAGTATTCTCCATATGCAAATGATTTCACAGTAACATTGACGGGCTTCTCTTCCCATCACTGCAAACCTGTGGTAACACAGCTTCCCCACAGGGAGTTTACTCATCATGGGATTTTAAAGATGAAGCATTTCAAAACTGAAATTTGAAAGAGTTTAGTTTTAGATTAAATCAATTATTATCATCATCAATGTGGGTGTTACTACACCTTTCATGTTTTTCAGTTTAAATACCAGAGTGTTAGGCATCTGACTTTCAATTGAAAATGTTGTTTTTCCTTCATCATTGAACCTAATAGCAGGGAAAATGAAGTGCCCCTTTATACTTTCAAGACCTTAAGTGAGATTAGGCAACTGAAAGAACAAATATTGCATAGTTAACTTGATAAAGCTAATTTGTTCATGTGGACCAAGGATTAACTGCTATCATTCCCCACCAACCCCATCTCTCCCCCAAATTTACCAGCCAGCCCTGTTTAAATTTTCTCTATAGCTTTTATACCCATCTAATATATCATCAGATGTATTGTATAAATGTACCTATCTATTTTGTTTATTGTCTCTTTCCTCCTAGAATATATACTCTACAAATGCAAGGATTTTAGTCTGTTTTATTCCTCTCTGTATCCTTAGGACTTTGCATATGAGAGTAGTAGTGTGACGAGAGCACACAAAAAATACTTGTTGAATGAATGAATGAAACATTACCTCAAATAGAATAAACCTAAACATTTTGAAACATGAACAGGTTTGAATATGTGAAATTTATTTCCAAGACTGTTCATCAGGATCTGCCAGTACTTTCTAATGAGTGAACATAAGTGGTAGTAGTAAGAAGAGGAAGAACAGCTCTAGTAGTAATAGTAGTAGTAATTAGCACTTATGTAGTACTTATGAGGTGCCAGGCTCTGCCCTGAGCACTTTGCCTATATTAACTCATTTAACCCTCAAATGACTCTATGGAGTAGGGTCTCCATCATGTCTAAGAGGCATGTTTTTCACACTTTGTATTTCTGAAATCTGAGGATGTCTGTCAATAGATGGCATCTTAGAGTCAATGATATGTGGTGTTAGTCTTATTTTACGGATGAGGAAACTGAGGTCCAGATAAATTAAGTAATTTAACAAAGTTCACTCAGCGATTAAGTGGTATAGTCAGGGTCTAAACTTAAGCAATCTGGCTCCGAAGTCTGTGCGCTTCACAACCAGGTTTTACTGCCTGTATTTGTACTTCCCGAATGTGTGTTAAGTTATATATATATATATATATATATATATATATATATATATATATATATAGACTTCAAAACTGCCGTGAGCTTTTCTTGGTCTTGATGTGACGATTGCATTAGCCCATATTTGCTCTAGATCTAGCAAACCAGGAGTCTGCAAATGTTTTTGGTTACCTACCCCATCAATAAAACATGTTAAACTAACATATGTGTATGTAGTTATAAAGAATATACTTGTACTGATACATAGGTTGTATCATAAGAAATTGATATTTTTAAAAGGCAGAAGAAATTGAATATCACCAATTTCATGTGGTTCAAGCTAATATATTCTACATAAGTGTACAAAAATAAAAATTTAAATGGATGAAATAAAATTTAATAAATAATATTTTCAATTTCTTCCTAATTATGATGCTTCACTATCATTAGCTAATATTTTTGGGTATAATATACCTTAGGTAAAATTCATCATTAACAAACATAGGTGGTCTTAATCTTTTAACCAACACTTTGTCAGGTTCAATTAGTTACTTATTGTTTTAACTTCATAAAATTGTGCTAGAAAGGGCCTGTGCTGACATTTCCTTTTGGTTTGTGCTTGAATTATTAGTATTATCTTCAACCCTCAGTTTCTTTGTGGGAAACTTTTTAATTAGTTGTTTATTTTTTAAACAGGTGAGTTTAGTTAAACTTAGATGAGAGAATCTGAAAATCTACAAGCCCAAAAGAGTCACTGACCTTTTTTGGGTGTTCTAAATATGCCCTCTTCCCACAACACCCTCATGTGGCACACCAAGTGAGGCCGTGTCCATCAGTAACACTTGTTAAGTTTATATTGTATCTTAATTGTTAGGATAAAAATACATATAAGAGGAAGTTCTAATATTTTCTTCCTATACCCCAATACATGTGCCCCACTTTAGAGACGAATACAGTGGATATTTAATCAATGAGTGGAATGAGTCCACTCATTTATTGGGCCCTTAAAGGTGCACCACATTTATACATATGCCTAAGCATGAAATAAGATTCTCCTTTATTCTTATACCATTAAAAATGATAATAGAAGAGTAAACAAATAAATATTTTACCTTTAACATTTTACCATTCACTGATTTTAGACTTGAAATTTTAATTGCCTAGAAATCAAGCTATGTGCTATATGAACTAGACCGTCTTATGACAAATATTTTATTTCATGAAGTGTAATCAGTGGATTAAATTTTTTAATGACTTACACTTAACAGATACAAGAAGGATTAAGGACTCAAGTACTGATGAAAACCATTATTTATGTGCTTCCAATTGTGATTATGTTGATTTTCAATGTTTCCATTGTTGGTTTTATTGATATAAGAATACAAATATCACATCATTATTTCTGTTTTGTTTGTTCCTGGCTGTTTTGTATTAAATCTCTGTGACTATATGAATATATCATATCACAAAGCCATTGTTATGACTTTGGTAAAGCAATGCAGAGTTAAGGCTCTAGGTGGACCTACACTAGTGGTTACACTAAAGTGTTAGGAGTAAAATAAAGATTATACCAACAGAATAGTAACATGCTAACATACTCGTAATGAATAAATATGAATAAAGATCTTAGGTGATGTAAATGCATTAAATAATGGTACACTGGGTATCTTAATCCTTAAAGGTCCCAAACCAATGATCTAAAATTTAATCAAATTTTCTTCCTTGCATGTAATGCTTATTTAAATGATTTATTATAATAGCCAGCATGAAAGGTTTTAAAAATGAGTATTATAATGTGGTATTCTAGATGAGACCCTAGAACAACAAAAAAAAGGACACTAGGGAAAAACTAATAAACTGGAACAAAGTGTGAAGTTTAGTTAATAATAATGTACTAATGTTGGTTCCATAGTTATAACAAATGTACCATGGTCATATAAGTTGTTAGCAATAGGGGGAACTGGTTGAGAGGTATGCAGGAACTCTGTACTATCTTTGCAACTTTTCTATAAATCTAAAACTATTTTCAAGTAACAAGTATATTTCAACTTTAAAAAGTTTCACCCAGGAACATGTATCACTTTTTACAATGACATCATTCTGTTTTCATATCTAATTTCTGATCATTGACCTAAAGTTGAAAAAGTGAATGGCACATCAAAATTGGATTTTCTGTTTATTAAGTAGTCTAAAAACAGTGCTGGACAGCTGAAGAGATTCATGTTTATAAAGGCAGCATTACAACAACAAAAAGAAAATACCCAGGAATAAATTTTAAAAAGAAATGCTCCATGTAAAAACTATAAAACTTTACCAAGAAACATATAAAGACTTGAGTAAATGGACAAACATATTTTGTATTTGGATAGAATCACCACTGGTTTAAAGATGACAATTCTTTTTAAATTATATATTTGAGCCCATTAAAAATAGCAGTGATACGTATAGCAAGATAGTTGTTCCTGTAAGCTCAAACTTGGCCCAAGTATGAACAGAAGAGTTGAGGCAGAGCTAACAGGGGTTTCTCACTTCGAAAACATCTGAGCATTGAGCTTATTTGTATGAAAACCAGCCTGGATTGATATTCTTGCTTGCTAATATAGACAACACCAAACCACACATCTAATTCTGTGCTAAGTGACAGCCCTGACTTCTTTTTGCTCATGACCTAGCACCATACCGCAAAATCAACCAAAGAATTTCTGTGGATCCAGTCACCTCTAAACATGAACTAACATGTCAGGCTGAAGGTTACCCTGAGGCCGAAGTCATCTGGAAAAGCAGTGACCACCAAGTCCTGAGTGGCAAGACCACCATCACCAATTCCGAGAGAGAGGAGAAGCTTCTGAATGTGACCAGCACACTTAGAATCAACGCAACAGCTAACGAGGTTTTCTACTGCACTTTTCGGGGATCAAGTCCTGAGGAAAACAATACAGCTGAGTTTGTCATCCCAGGTAATATTCTAAATGTGTCAATTAAAATGTGCTTAGTGCTATCACCAGGCACCTAGCATGAAGCCCTCTCATAATAGTCATTCATTGTTGAATGAATGAATGAATGAGTGAATGAATGAGTGAATAACGCTATATTTACAAAATGCATCCTGCTTCCTCACCTCCATTCATCCAAGTCATATTGCCATTTAGTAAACATTCATCAAATATCTATTGAATATGGCCTATGTGCCAGGCATTGGAGGCTCATAGACGAATAAGATAGTTCACACTCTCCAGGAAACAGATAAGAAAACAGGAAATTCTCTTGTGGCTGGGGAACCTGGGGGAGCATCCAAGAGGAATACTCAACTCAGGCCATGTTTCACGGATCCAAATCTGAGCACTTAGAGCTGCGCCTTTCTTTCCAGGGTTTCTTATGGCAGAAAACAAATGGAATGTACTTTTCTATCTTATTCCGAATGGGAGAGATAGTGCCTCCCCATCTGCTTCCCCCAAGGTAGTCTATGACATTCCAACTCAAGGCAGTCTGCTTAGTGTCTAGGACATCAGGCTGTATGTCTGTGGGCAAGTTACTCAACTGCTGCATGCTTCACTTCCCCATATGGTTAGAACCTATCGAGCAAGGCTGTCATAGGAATAAATGAGGTACACTGTATGACAATGATTTGAGACTCTTGCCTACACAGATTCAACTTTTTGTGTGTGTGTCTCCCTGCCTTACAAAAGTGAGTAAAGTAGGTAAGGCAGGACACAGTCTGATGAAAAGCTCAGACCTTTAGAGAAAGTGAGGTGGGTGAGCATGATATTAATAGAAAACCAGGTGTTGGATAGAAAAGTCAGGCGATAGGAAAATACAATCCAGATGGTCCTGTGAACAAAAAGAGCAAAAGAAGTTTAGATAATTAAAGAGATGCTCTTACTGGGGTATTGGTAGGAACTGCATTAGTGGGTCCCTCCCACTTAAAAGCTGTTATATGACAACTTATTTGTGGGAAGACCTAGGATTACTCAGAACTGCTTGGAGTCTGTTTCCTCATCTGTAACCTGGGGATTTTCTTTTAATACCTGACACACCTAACTCATAAACTTATTTTGACACTCAATTAAAATAGATATGAACAGGCTTTATAAACTGTAAGCTGCTAGACAAAGGCTGGCTGCTGTTGTGGCTTTAAAGCTTGAACCAGGTAGTCAGGGATCATGACTAATGGTGGGAGGTGGGAGTTATCATTCTCTGAGCACCATTTGCCATGAGACCCTTTTTCCTTCTTTCATGGCACCCCAGATGGAGATTGGGAGATTGGGGAGAGGTACCAATGAGTAGATGTCCCAAGATGTTCAGATTTTGGAGAAAAAAAAGATAACAAACATTGGTCCCCGATCATGACCAGACATAAAGAGGTAGGAGTTCTTTGGCAGTGCTGGTTCACATTCCATCTTTGCCATGTGTAGTTAGCTTCTGTATTAAAGAATGCAAGAGAAAGTGAAATAATCAAGGCCGCCATTTTAGTACTGAGCGGCCACTCCCTGTAGTCCTATGCTAAGCACTTTACAAACATTAGCCTCACAAAAGTTATTTCCATTTTGTAGGCTGGTTAAAGGACTTGTCAGAGACGTCAAAGCTAGTGAGTGGCAGCAGAATTTAACCCCGGGTCCATCTATCCAAAGCCTGGGCATTTCCCCTTTTCCATGCTGCTCCCATTTTCATATCAGAGGTATCTCATCATTCCAGCCACTCACTGGCCAGGAACTTTTGGTATTTAAGAAAATTAACCTAAAGCTAACCTAAATGAAACTTCAAGGATGATTATTCTCTTGACCCCTTCTCATCAAAATTTTATCTTTAGTTTCTTTTTGTTGTATTCTTTTTTAGAACGACCTCCAGATCCACCAAATATGAGGACTCACTTGGCAATTGTGGGAGCCATCCTGTTGTTACTTGTAGCCCTGACAGTCATCTTCTGTCTCAAAAGAGATGGTATTTCCTTTATTGCAATGATCTCAGGGGGTGTGGGGAAATGTATGGGTGTGCTGTTGTCACAGTGGCACTTAGTAGGTAGAGCCAAGGATGCTAACTCTGCTGTAATGTGCAGGGCAGTCCCAAGTAACAGGGAACTATCCTACCCAAAATGCTAGCAGTGTCTCCACCAGGAAACACTGATTTATAAAATGCTGCCTTCCTATTAGCCTTCCCTTTCAAGGCCAATTTTCAATCATGCAAAGAAGGTTTTAGTTATGCTACCTTGTGAATCTGTGTATCGCCGCTTCCTCCAGTCCCACTCATCTTGCTGTTCAGCAGCATCACCTACATTGGAGGGCAATGGTGAACACTGTCGTAGCATTTCTGAAGGGGTGAGAGTTGGACCGTGGCTGCAGGGGAACCTGACTTGCCTTTGCAAGGTGGCATAGACATTCCACTGTTTAAAAGCAATTATAGTGAAGCTGAGCAGGACTGGTGGGTGAAGACCCATGTGTACAGGATAGGGTGGGAGAACAGGTGTGTATAGGTTGAAGGAGTGATACAGTTTCTTTCCATTATGTAAATAACCACAGACTTACAGGAGAGAGAAAGCCAAAATGCCTGTTGGTTTTGGTTGAATTTGAGTCTTGCATTTAGTTGCACTGTTATATTGAGCTGGTTTCTGGCACCCTGTTATAAAAATAGTTCCTTCTGTAGAGCTGTAAGACTTGAACCATAGAGTATTTTGCAAGATTTCTGGCTGAGGGTGTTCTGCAGTTTTCTAAATAATTTTCATGCACTTATCTCTCTGTTTACTTATGGCAGCAATGAAAATACAGGAACACAAGTCTAGTCAAATAATTTCTTCCCATTTTAAGATGATTCAGAGTAAATAGTTCTCCAGTACTTCGAGAAGTATAGCAAGGGATGATTCGCATAGAGTTATCTGATGTCAAAAAGGGAAGTGGAAAATGGAAGGGAGTTCCAGTAGTCGTTGAGAAATTCCCCACAACCCCTTAAGAGGGTGGGTGGATGTGAGAAAGGAGCATAATTGAGGGAGTGGAGTTTGCTGTTTTTCTATAGACTAAATACTTAGCTGAGTGGAGACAGTTAACCAGTGTATAATGATTGAGTTTCAATGATAGCAAGATCCTGAGATGGAGTTGATTTGTTCAAGGATGTCAGGGTTGCCAATTTCATTTTGAATATTTCCTTTTGAAAAATAATTAGTTGGGATTAGAAATGGCTAGAAAACCAATGCGTAATAAAGTACCCCAGGATATGGTCCATCTCTGAGGAAAGGATGGAAAATAAAGGTATATACTCCTAAAGAAAATCTAGGAGCAAAAGCATGTGCCCTAAACTGTTGAGTTAACCTCAGGGATTGGGACCCAAGGAATAAGGCAGTCTACCAGATATCCTAGGGAATTAAAAATGTTTCATAGGAACCTGGAATTTAAACTTGAGTCACTGTGTGGGATATAGAGTTGTGTTTTGTGGAAATAAAAATGATTTTTCTTTTCAAGTGAGAATGATGGACGTGGAAAAATGTGGCACTCAAGACACGAATTTAAAGAAACAAAATGGTAAGATTATTAGTAGGGACCGGGAAGTTGAAGGAAAAGGAAACAAGAAGTTCAAGTAATAAATAACAAGGACAAATTTATCAGCCATAATCCCCCCCTCCTTTTAAAGAATGCTAGCGGTTAGAACTGCTGGCTTCTTTTTGTCTCACAACTCTAATATAAGAATTCCCCCCACAGTCTAAGAAGATTTAGGGATGTATGTCCCTGGAGAGTAAAGAATGATGAGCAGCTTTGTGTGTGTGTTGGGGGTGGGCATAGGGGGCTGAAATTGGGGAGGAGGCAGGTTCTCTCTGCTAGGTTTCTATTGCCCTGCTGCCTAACTTCTCCCGCAACAGGGGACCAAGTTGACTTATGTGGATGGGAGATGATAAATGATATATGATAGATAGATAGATAGATAGATAGATAGATAGATAGATAGATAGATAGATAGAAGTTGTGTGTCAGGCACTGTGTTAATTGCTTCATGTGTGCTACCTCATTTAATTCCCCCCCACACTCCTCAAATCAAAGAGATAAATACTAGGATTATCCCCCTTTATAGCAGAGAAAACAGGGCCAAGAAGATAATGTGAATTGCCCCAAAACACACAGCTGGTAAGTGACAAAAATCAGGCTTTGAGGCCCACTAGATTGACCACAGAACCTTACTCTTAACCTACCTGCTTACTTCCATTTTGCCACAAATGTCTATATTTATAAAAGGTCAGAAAGACCTTACCCAGCTGATTGAATTAAGAAGAAATTCATATGAAGGTTTAATTCTTTTTAATGTGGTTAGAAATCAAACTTCACAAACAGCCCAAGTTTAAAGTAGTCTAATTAGCTTGGACAAGCTCAGGCAGGTTTCATTCTGTGGTCTGTAGACTCCTTTGTGTTGTTGTAAAGCTAATTAGTGAATGTTGATTGAGTCATCCTCAGGTGAGCAACCTCCCCGGTTTGCCCAGGACTCAGGGCTTTCTCAGGACATGGGACTCTCAGTTTTAAAACTAGGCCAGTCCTGGAGAAGCCTGGATGGTTGGTCACCCTTTATCATGTAAAGGTAATTGGACAAAAATATAACCTGCCTCTTTTATCTTCTTGCATATTTATATCATCTAGCAAATATCAAATGTTTCCCGTTGTTACTCTCCAGATACACAATTTGAGGAGACGTAATCCAGCATCGAAACTCCTGATCTTAAAACAGGGATTCTCAGCCTGTGGTTTGAGTTCGTCAAGGCTAAGCATGGCCAGAGCTGCACAATGGGCCAGTGGGCTGCAGATGATGGAAGACTTGCAAGGCCCAAGCACTGAAAATGGAAGCTGGGAAAGAAGAAGAGGAGAACAAAGAGCGAGGGAGTTAGAAAGGGGAGCCTGGAAGGAACCCTTCCTTGGACTTCAGAATGACTGGGAGACTCATCGGCACATACGAAAAAGAGAAGGGACACTTCTGGAAGATGAGCCTCCATGCAAATTGTCCATCACTCATCCTAGGAAAACAAGTCGAGATTCCCTGATTTAATGGTCAGTGCCTGCAAAAGCACCCTTTGCCTTCATTCAATGTCTCGATTTGTCTTCTGCATGATTGGCAGTCGTTGTGTTTGCAACAGTATTTAAGTACGAGTTATTTCTATTTATTTTGAATCTATGGGAGCTTGTCATGTGACTGTGTTTGTAAATAATCTCCTTTGACGATATGTTATAGAAGTTAAAATTTTGTCACCAACCTAAACTTACTGCTTAATGACTTGTGTGTGTCCAGTAAAATGTATAGTATTTGGAAGGTGCTTTGTGTCCTCTATAACAGGGGTCTGCAAACTGCGGCTTGCGAGCCACATGCGGCTCTTTGGGTACGTACATGTGGCTCTGAAGTAAAATTGAAAATGAAAATAAAACTGTCATAGTTTCATTTATAAAATTTTTAAAGGATAGTATTCACATAATGGTGATTTCATTTGTTTTATGGCTCTCGAATAATTTTTAAATTGTTGTGAGGGCCAGGATTGGCTCTTGCGTCTCAAAAGTTTGCCGACCCCTGCTCTATAACAATCAGTACATAGGAAGCATATAGAACAAACCATTGGTTTGTATACAATATTACCTTATTTAACTCATTTGACACTTTGGATGAGTTGAATAACCTTATACTCACTCTTTTATTCTCAGACCTCAAGGTAAAATGTGGTACGTAGTATCTGTTGTATTTCAATATCAGTTTTACAACCAGGTAGTATCCTATATCCATAATCTCATTTAATCCTGTAACAGCTGTGTTGTGGTCAGCTCTACTGTTATACAGCTGAGGGAGTGGAGAGATAAAGTAACTTGCCCAAGCCAGTAAATAGCAGACCTCAGATTTCTGGGACTGTCACTCACTGTTCTTTTAGAATACAATTTATAGCTGTGTTTTTACTTTAACAAATTCATTCATTCAACAAACATTTAAGAAATGCCTTTGTATGTCAATCACTGTGCCAGGCAGTGAGTCTACAGATGTGAGAAACATAAAGTATCTCCCCTAAAGGAGCTTGTAGATAATGGAGAGATTGGTAAGAAAATTCATCACTACAGTTTCATGTAGTGTCATAACATAAGGTGTTGGGGGAGAATGATAGTGTGAGGAAGAAAGTCTAGAAATGCTGCCAAAACAAGGGGACACTCTGGGTGGCCAGTCAGTGTGGTCCTATATAGTTGAAAATACTTAAACATTTTAATAGTCAGTGCAATTTTAGTTTATGAAGAGGAGTCAGTATTTTAAAAAACTGTGGCAATAACTCAAATTCTTTTTCTATCACTATATTTACCCCGATTTATTTGCCTTTGCCGTGCAATCTGATGCTTACTTATATACTGTCTGGTATTGTTTAGCAGTTCTTTTTTATTTAAATGCAGTTGAATTTTGAATTCATACCTTTCCGTTATTTAATATTCAGAAGGTCCAATAAGAGACATTAAAAAGTCTCCATTCCATCCTCCTAGTCGTCCACTTTCCCTTTCTGGAAGCAACCACCTTTTGTTTATTATTCTTCTGAAGATATTCTATGAATATATGTGGGAAATGAATATAAAAAGTGTATTTTGTATTTTTTCCTCTTATGTAAGTGGTAACACATCGTATGCCTGCTGTGCACTTTGCTATTTTTTATTTAATATATTATTTCTTATGTAGCAGCCAGAACAAATGTGAAGTTCCATAAGACTTAGTACATGCCAAATATGTACTATACCTCCATTTTGACAACCAGCATTTGTTGAGTACTTGCTTTATGACTGAGTTTGGATTAGGTTTATTTTGTGTTTCTCGCAGTGGGACCTATGGGTTCTCTAGGGTACACTGGGTGAATTTAGTCCTAAAGGGTGACTTTATTACTAATTCTGTATAACAGAATCATATCTGGAACTCTTTTCTTTCTGTTTTCTCTTGAGTATAAATTACTTTGATGTTGTTGCACTTGCAAAATTTCGTGTTCTTTTCGGAAATTCCAATAGAGTACCTTATCCCTAGATCCTCATCTGTGCCAGTAAAGGCACATGATCTGTGTGCTTAAACCTTTGAGTCCTGCCACTTCTCATCACTACATAGGCCTCTTAATGTGCTGCTTTCTAAAGGCATTGAGACTCCGATGCCCCCTCAGGAGCTCGCAGAGCTTCCATCTTAGCCACTTGCCTGGATTGATGACAAGTAAAACCTTTGCTTGGCCACCTGTCAAGGGCTGAAGAAACAGAATAGCCAACAAAACGCCTTCTGTTGTCTTTTTGCACACGCTCCTTTGCACAGTGACCCCTGTGTGTGTGAAGCACAAGCGAGGATTTTGGCTGAGCAAGACACACGCGTACATAGCCACTCCATTCCTAAGTCGTAATGCCTTTTCGTGGTGTGGGATTTGAAAGGCACATTATCTCTTTGTCTTGTGTTTCACTGTAAATGGCATAGGCAGAGATGATATCTCACCCTGCATTTGATTTCACTGTTTACACTTGCATTAATTTAATAAAATATTCTTATTTATTTGGTTTCCAGTGTATCAGCATGTCCATTTTCTTGTTTTTCTACATATTTTATAAAACCAGTTTAACATCCCAGTGGAGATAGTTACTTGAAAGATCTGCAGCCACCTCCCTAGTTCTTTTCATAGCTTCTCTGTTTATACAACATACTCTGGGATCCTGCATGATGAAAAATATCAAAAGAATTTTTTAAAAGAAAAATTTTATTCTCTCTCACTTGATACCTTCTTTTAAAGACAATGTCAAAAAAAGAGTCAAAATTATGTCATCCATATTGAAGATCTGAGGGAGGGAGGGAAGGTGAAGGAGAAGGCGTGGTCAGGACAGCTATGGGAAACAGAGGGGCTTTCCTTTATGAGAGTACTCTTCTCAGATCAGTAAACATGGACATATAAGCCGGTCCATATGAAGCTGGATGTATTTCAATCTTCAGTTTCTGAAAAGGAAGTGAAAAACCTAGAACGACGCCAAGCTGAGGATAGAGGCTGGGTACAGGGTGGGACCATAAGAGGATTTATAGTTTTAAAACAAAATGACAACACTTGCCATTCAAGGATGTGTAAAACTTTTAATATGTCATCTAGCTTAATTAGTCATCAAGCTTACTTTAAAGAGACTTTTGACCATTTCTCTAAATCAGACACTCTCAAAAGGTGATGATGATTTCTAAGAATGTGGGTCAGATTCTACATGTTTTTTTAAAAAGATTATCAGTGTCTTTACAGAAATGATGATGGTAGAATATTTATGCCAGGTACTGGGCAACCAAAGCAATAAAAATGGGTACTGGGTATCAGGATATCCCACCTTTCTGACTAGTCTTCCTGGCTGGCTTTGGTGGTCATGGTTCTGGCTGGAACTTTGTGATGTTGAAGGGGTCCATATTATAGAAAAGTTAGCCTAAAAATAGACCATAAGCTTTCATTAAACTTTGACTCCAGTCCCTTTTATAAGCATGTGACTATCTGCCACAGTGGACCAAATATATTTTTATCTAACTATTTTAGAAAACATATAAATTATTACTGTTTTAAAACTTAGAATTCAAAATTAACTTTTGCACTATTGATATCCCTGGGCAAATTTGTGAAGACATATATTCCATTTCTATATTTTTTTCCCTATCCCAGGACCCCAAAGTTTCAAGAAAATTAATAAACCAACTCACCCCTATTATTATTATTAATTTATTTATTTATTTAAGCTGAGCCATCCTGCCACCTGTTGGCACGTCAGCGGCAGCTCAGCTCAGGCCGTGAATCGAACCAGTGACCCTTTTACTCAGAGCTTGCACTCTTGAGTGAGCTCTTAACCAACTGAGCCACTCGGCCCGCCCCCTCTATTATATTAAATATTTCCAGAATTATTTATATTTTGAAAGAAGTTAAAGTTTGAGCAAACCAAGACAATTGTTAGTGGTCGGGTTTTATCATTAATAATCATGAAAATTAGCATTTATTGAGCATGTACTCTATGCCAGACACTGAGATTTACATACATTATCACATTTAATGCCATGGGCTGGCAATGAGGTGTATCAAACAAGGGTATTGCATTTACCTGATTGCTGCCAAATCAGCAAAGTTAAGAAAAATTGGGGCATCAAAAAGGCAAAAATAAATAAATAAGACTGCAAAATTCCACTGATATTACCGGGAAGCTTAAAAAAGAGAGTTTTGATTGTAATTCTTGCTGATTGTTTACTTACATCTTTCCCTCAACAGAAAAATATAAAATGGCCATTTAGAAGGAATATATACATGATACTATTACATTAATTTTGAATGGAGAGTAAGTAGCCGAACATTGACTGAAATATACACTTCTTAGTTTCTTAATTGTAGTGAAGCTATCATATTTTGGCTCCATTTTCCCACCAATTTCTGATCTGATTGCAAATTCTGCTAGAAAAATGCAGTTGGATAGATCGGAAGTTCAGAATATCCATTTAAGGAAATGATCAGTAAGCTCCCGATTCCCAACCTGCTCCTTCCTGTCGGTGTGACCTCTGGAAGAGATCTCTTCTTGCAGAAAGTGAGAGCGTCTAATCCTGTCTGTCTGAGGAGACAGTCAACCTGGGGAGATGGGTAGCAGTCTGGAGTGCGGAGTGAAATTTCACGCACAGCCCCAGGATTCAATCCCTCATCAGAGCTTTTCAGGCTAGGTGACAAACCAGCGGAAAGGCATCAGAAATGTTAAGACCAGGTCCTGCAGAAGGGACACCCACTCCCAGGTTAGGCCTGAGGAAATGAGCAGCAGCAACCTGGTTGAAGAGAGGTGAAGAGAGGTGAAGGGAGGTGAAGGTCCACCCAATTGCTAAGCCTGCATTATCACTAGGCTGGGGACCACTCTCACATTCAGCGCTTTGAGACTTCTTGGGATGACTACAATGGTGGTTAAACTGAGCTCTGAACTGTTCCAGTGCTTGCATTTTGAGGGGGGATGATTTTCAAGATAAAAAGTAAATGGATTTAACAGAAGAAGGCTTTGTGGCAGAATTGCGGTAAATCTCAACATATTAATCTAATTTTTCTCTGTGTATTTTCCTCCACCTCTCCTCTCTCTGTTTGTAACCTGAGGGTCAGTTTCCCTCCCTTTCCATGCCAAAGCTGAGACAGAGAAAGTGCCACTTTAATACCTGAAATTCCACTCACATTTCCTACGGTTCATTACAAATATCTCAGTGGGTCACAATTACTCACTGGGCATCTTTTACGGGGTATTGTGGGGAAGTTAAAGAAATATTAAATGTAGTTCATGCTGTCATGGAGCTTACAGTCTGAGGAGACAATGCATAAATTCATGAAGAATTAAGTAATAATTCCAGTGTTAGAGAATAGGAGACTTTAAGAAAATGTCTCAAAACACTGAA